CATTAACAATGAGACAGAAGAGAAAGAAATTAGGGAATCAGTCCCATTTATAATTGCATCAAAAACCATAACATACATAGGAATGAACGTAACCAAAGAGGTAAAGGATCTGTACTCTGAAAACTATAGAACACTCATGAAAGAAATAGAGGGAGACAGAAAGAAATGGAAAAACATTTCATGCTTAATAATTGGAAGAACAAATATCTTCAGAACAATCTATACATTCAATACATTCCCTATCAAAATACCACCAGAACTTTTCACAGAGCTGGAACAAACAATCCTAAAATATGTATGGAATGAGAAAAGACCCAAATAGCCAAAGGAATCTTGAAAAAGAAAACTAAAGGTGGTGGCATCACAATTCCAGACTTCAAGCTCTATTACAAAGCTGTCATCATCAAGACAGTATGGTCCTGGCACAAAAACAGACACATAGATCAATGGAACAGAATAGAGAGCCCAGAAATGGACTCCCAACTCTATGGTCAATTAATCTTTGACAAAACAGGAAAGAATATGCAATAGAAAAAAGACAGTCTCTTCAACAAATGGTGTTAGGAAAATTGGACAGCTACATGCAGAAGAATGGAAATGAGCTGCTTCTTCTTCTTCTTCTTCTTCTTTTTTTTACACCATACACAAATATAAACTCAAAATGGATGAAGGATATAATTGTGAGACAGGAATCCATCAAAATCCTAGAGAACACAAGCAGCAACCTCTGTGATCTAGGCCACAGCATCTTGCTAGATACATCTCCAAAGGCAAGGGAAACAAAGACAAAAGTGAACTCTCAGGACTTCAGAAAGTTAAAAAACTTCTGCACAGCAAAGGAAAGAGTCAACAAAACCAAAAGAAAACCTACAGAATGGGAGAAGATAATTGCAAATGTTTTATCAGATAAAGGGCTAGTATCCAAAATCTATAGAGAACTTATCATAATAATAAAACACACACACAAAAAGAACTTTTCAAATTCAACACCCAAAGAACAAATAATCCAGTCAAGAAATGGCAGAAGACATGAAGAGACATTTCTATAAGGAAGAAATACAAATGGTGAACAGACACATGAAAAAATGCTCACCATCACTTGGCATCAAGGAAGTACAAATCAAATTCACAAGAGATACGATCTTATACCATATACACCATGTATACCATGGTTACAATTAACAAATCAGAAAATAACATATGTTGGTGAGGATGTGGAGAAAGGGACAGATGAATGGATAAGGAAAAGGCGGTATACACATACAATGGAATATTGGCTAGCCATCAAAAAATGAAATCTTGCCATTTACAAGGGCGTGGATAGAACTAGAGGGTATTATGCTAAGCAAAATAAGTCAATCAGAGAAAGACAATTATCACATGATTTCCCTCATAAGTGGAATTTAAGAAACAAAACAGGGGAGCATAGGGCAAGGGAGGGAAAAATAGAAGATGAAATCAGAGAGATAGGCAAACCATAAGAGACTCTTAACCATAGGTAACAAACAGGGTTGTTATAGGGGAGGGGCATGGGTGGATGGGGTAATGGGGTAATGAGCATTAAGGAGGGCAGTGGGTATTATATACAACTGATGAATCACTAAACTCTACCTCTGAAATTAATAATACCTATATGTCAAGTAATTGAATTTAAATTAAATTAAATTTAAAAAATGGCTTTGCTCTAATTATTCTTGACTCTGAAGTCATTTGTCTTTTTAGAGGCACTGAGAAGATTCAGCTTATGACATCCAATGACACAGTGGAACTCAGGGTCTCTGTATGTCTGTGTTCTGGTGAGGAAAGAAGCACCTGCTGTTATAATGTCTACAATCTACCTGTGTTAGTAGTTTCATGGTGAAGGATCTCATGTCTCCCTGCCTATAGTGACAAAATGAGACTGAAAATAGGAGCCTCAGTAAATCACCTGCTGTGGAAAAGAGCAGGTCTTGGCTGAATGTCAGGGATCACCTAGTTCTACAAGTCTGCATGTTATTTCTTTCAGAACAGTGTCATCACAGTGGACAGAGGGTGCAGTGTCTCAATACCCCTGGTCTTACAATCCCAACTCACGTAGCAGCTATTGGAATGAACCTTGGTGTAAAATATGGGGACCCTCACCCACAACCTAACATATGCTCGACAGAAGGAGTATGCGTGTGCAGATGGATATGTTCTTCCCATTAGTTGTGGCCCTTTGGATGAGCAAAGTTGGCTGGGGTTTAACTGTCCTTATTTTATTTTTTTTATTAAAGATTTTATTTATTTATTTGACAGACAGAGATCACAAGTAGGCAGAGCAGCAGGCAGAGAAAGAGGGGGAAGCAGGCTCCCTGCTGAGCAGAGAGCCCGATGTGGGGCTCGATCCCAGGACCCTGGGATCATGACCTGAGCCGAAGGCAGAGGCTTAACCCACTGAGCCACCCAGGTGCCCCTAACTGTCCTTATTTTATCTTTCAACATGGCACCCACCACTGACAGTCCCAACTAGTAAAGGCCGGTTTGACTTCAACATTTTCCATGAATCAACCACATTTGACAGAGCACATAGATAAAACAAGCCTGAGAAAATAGAACACCATCACCACACCAGCACCCTCCTGCCACCCACACTGGTCTCCAGCACCTCCCCCTCTCTGCATTTCCCAGTCCAGGGCAGTCCAAGTCCAGTTGGGGAATGAGGGTGCTAAGGAGTTGGAAGCCACAGGAAACACTGCCTAGGAGCCCCAGCAGTGACATCAGCTCCACACAGCTTTCTATCTTTTGTTAGTTTTCCCTCTCTATCTCCAAGATTTCCACATGCAGAAACAGTTCCAGATCTCTAAATAGAAGCCAGGCATTTGTCCTAAAGAAGTCTGATCACATTCTTTAGAATCAAGGAGGAGAAAAAAATTAAATTCCCACTTTCTTGTATCTGGTGGGTCTTACGTTGTTTCCACATGGGAACCTCTACTTGGTTTCCAACAGAACCTGTTTCACAGAAACTGAGGCTGATTGTAAATAAACAGAAAATCCTTCCCAATTTTAAATGAGGCATTGTTTTATTCTAGTGTATAAAAACTTTCACTTTAAAAAGATTCATTTGTAAAAGAGAAAAACAATAATTTATTTCTTCACCCCTCAACCATGCATTGAACATTTTGTTTTACACTCATGTTTGTAGAGATATACACACATATATAAATGAGTGTCATACTTATTAGCATTATTACTCATAGAAATCATGGTCAAAGGACTGGACAAATATTGCACAAAAGAAGAAATAGAAATGGACTGAATATACAAAAAGATGATTATCCTCATTAGAAAAGCAAATTAAGACATGAAGAGATACTATCTTTTCACCCATCAGATAAGGAAAATTGTGATGTTTGACAGCACTGTCCTGACATTCACCTACATCATGGAAGGAGGGTACACTGGTGCTAACACTACCAGGATAATTTGGCAGTACCAATCAAAGTGACCAAAGCATACATCCAAAGTGTTATAAAACATTATTATAATTTCACTATATTTTATGATAATAAAACATTGAAAATAATCCACTGGTCTATCACAGGGAACTGATCTTATAAAGTACCTTGTAAAGTATATAGTCACCAATAAAATATTCTCCAGCTATGTAAGTGTTCTTTTAAATTGACATAAAAAGAGTAGAAGGGTATATAAGTGAGAGGTGAAGGATAATGTATGTCATTACTACCTGTGTGTTAGAAGGAAGAAAATTAGATCTAAGTTCATATTTGCCTAAATAAAACCTGGAAGGATGGGCAAGAAACAAAAGATGTGACCTGTAAGTGGTGGGAAGGTAGAGACAGTGGTTGGAGTAAGATTTTGTAGTTCAATTTTTAGAGTGTTTAAATTTTGGAACCATGTGAACGTATAATCTAAAAATTTTAGTAGGACCCTGCCATGCCTATTTCTTCAATAATACTTTCCTTTTTTAAAGTTTTTATTTATTTATGTAATCTCTACAATCTCTTTTTAAAATTTATTTATTTATTTATTTATGTAATCTCTAAAATCTTTTTTAGTTTTTATTTATTTATGTAATCTCTACAGTGAATTTACAATGAATGTAAATTCTTAAGAATTTAAAAACAGAATTTAAAAACAATGAATGTAAATTCTTAAGAATTTAAAAACCTGAGATCAAAAATCTCTCATTCTTTAAACTGAATCAGCCAGCTACTACCTCAATAATACTTTCTGATTAATTTTCCATTTCTTCAACAATCTATATTTTTGTGTAGATGCATACTAGCCCATCATACAACATTATTTATTTTATTTTTTTAGTTTCTTATTGGGCATTTGATTTAATTTAGGACTGTTGTAAATAGTGGTATGGTATTGTATGTAAATCTTAGTGCTTACAATAAGGGTGTGCAAGCAGGTGTGTTTTCTCTTATTTCTAAAGTAGAACTGCCAACAGTTGATGCTAATGTTGTTGAAGATTCATATATATTCAACAAAATTAACTATCTTATCTACACAACTCCAAGATGGGGCATAACATATCTTCATTTTATAAATGAGAGAGTTGTGGCATAGACAGTTCAAATAGCTATAGACTCAAGATTTAAACCCAGGTACTTGGCAGGTTCAGAGTTCACGCACTTAACTCCTCTACTCCTCTACTTTTTCAGTGTTGGTGGGGCTCTAATGGGGTTCTTGTGAGATTAGGAAACCATGGGTCTGAGAACACCTGCCTGTCATGCGACAATGTTATACTGTCACTACCAGAATGTTTCAAACCAAGTGGGTCTGAATCTGCTCACCTTTGAAGGAGAAATAACCTGGGCACCTTCACTGGCTATGGCCCCCCTAGGGTGGGTGCCCCAAGGAAGTCTTCATAAGGACTATCTCAGGGAAAGATTTGAAATGTGGAATTGACCAATATTACAACCAGTTCTGAATTTGAAAGCTCATTTGTCATGCTGTCCCTTACCTTGGCCTCTCAGATTGCCCCAAATGAAAGTACACAGATGCAGAAGTAGATTTTTGATGGTTTTTATTGTGCCTATTATGAAAGCAAAGATGTCAGTTTCCATATGTGCAAAATAAAAGGTTTTGAAGCAATTATCTGGTTAAAGGGCCCCAGAAGATGCACCTAGAAGCTCTGTGTTGGCTAAACTCAGAGGCACAGGTGGCTCTGAGGAGCTGGCAGACATTAAGGAGAGAGCAGTGTCGAAGCCTCTGTGGATAACCCCCTGACCCTACACTTAAGTCATGGCAGAAGTTGTTCTTGCTGCAGAGTGAACTTTTCTGCTTGCCCAATTGTTTGTAAAATCATTCTGCAATAATGACACAATAGAAAGACACATGTGAACTGAAATAACCCAAACCCAGAATGCCCCATTATATACTCAGATGATGCTTTAGGCAACAATAGCCAATGAAGACAAGTGGACACGTGATGCCACCATGTGCTAGGAGCTCTTCCCATTGCCACAGAGTGCTGGTATCCCAAGCAGATAGAAGAGAATGATGGTGAAGTAGATCAGGTTCTTGAAGAGGAGGAGAAGGTAGGTGTAGTAGGCAGAGGTGTTCATGAGCTGCACCTGCAGGTTGTCTAAAATAGGTCATTTATTAGTTTTACCTTCTGTTCTTTTGAAGAGCTATAACTTATTAATGGGAGACGGGTCACATACATTTCTGATGTCCCCACAACTGCAAAACCTGGTAGCAATTGTCTACACCATCAACATCACCAGCACCAGCACCATTACCACGACCACCAAATAACTCATAATCCAGCTTGCAGATAAAGTCAATCAACAACATCAGAGGTTCACTAAGAACATTCCAAAGTATTAAGAAGTAAGGTTATATCTTAGATGAATGAGTCAACCTGAAAAAAAAAATTGGTGAAAATAGCTTTTACCATTTCTTCATCCCCACCATGTCTTTAAGTAGTAATAATCGCTAATATGCTTTAACCACTATCTAAACTACAGATTAATTTGAGAGGTTTGTGTGCAAAACTTTAATCTTACTTAATTTTTCAATAACCTAGGAGATTATTATTTTCACTGCCATTTTACAATTTAATTGAGAACAGAGAACTAATTTGCTTGATGTCTACAGTTAGTAAGTACCACAAGCAAGATTTCAATCCCAGCAACATAATGTTCAAGAACACATTCTTGGGGAGCCTGGGTAATTCAGTAATTAAGCATCTGCCTTTGGCTCACTAATGACCCCAGGGCCCTAGGATTGATCCCTGCATTTGGCTCCCTGCTCTGCAGGGAGCCTGCTTCTCCCTCTCCCACTCCCCTTGCTTGTGTTCCCTCTCTTGATGTCTCTCTCTCTGTCAAATAAATAAATAAAATCTTAAAAAAAAGAACACATTCTTACCTACTCTGTATTTCTATACCTCCACGTGTAATAAATACCCTCAACAACAAAGAGTTAAGCATAAATATAAAGATGAATTGTTGATTTAGAAGCATCTTAGCCATTACTGAGATTACTATCAGGGGTACAAATTTGGTTGTGTTCAAGGTAGGATGGGTGGGAGGTTTTAGTAAAGAGGGCATTAGTTGTGATGAGCACAGGGTGATGTATGGAAGTGTTAAATCATATTGTACACCTGAAACTAATATTACCCTTATATTAAATAACTGAAATTTAAATAAAATCTTGAAGAAATAATAAAATAAAATAAACTTTAAAAAATGGAAGAAAGGGGCAAATCCAAATTTTCTGCAACTTTAAGAGCTCAAACTCACTCCCTTGTCTTTCCTGAATACCCTCATTGTATCTATGATGTTATATGATAATTGCATTTTTTATCCTTTGAGGTTTTGTAAGAAATATATGATGTCAAGAAATAATGACAATATATGATGTCAAGAAATTAATGATAATGATGGTGGACCAGACTGGCCATTCAATGAACCACTAGGTTGGGTATTGAGTCTGTTCATCTGGAAATTTCTTTCTTTTTTTTTTTTTTTTAAGACTTCTATTTTATATTTTATTTTATTTTATTTTATTTTATTTTATTTTATTTTACCAAAGAGAGAGAAAGAGCCAGAGAGCACAGGCAGGGGGAAATGCAGAGGGAAAGGGAGAAGAAGGCTCCCCACTGAGCAGGGAGCCCAACATGGGGTTCAATTCCAAGACCCTGGGATCATATCCTGAGCTAAAGGCAGACACTTAACCAATTGAGCCACCCAGGTGCACCTGGAAATTTTTTTTTATGTGTTTATCTCCAAAAGAGTCAGAACTCAAGAATCATTAACCCTTACTGTGGAAAAGGACATCAAGTGGTGCTGTGCTCATTGCTCCTTGCCTTTGGTTAGGTAATATGTTAGCTGACGTCTAGAAGATCCTTAAGATTGGACATGGAGGGGGGAAATCAGCAAGGCTAGAGCCAGTGCTTCTTGTGGTTTCTTGTAGCTTCTTGTAGTAGAAGGGACCAGAAATCAGTACTTACAATATGACAGCTAAATGAGATACCTTATGCGAGACATTCTACAAATGTGACCTTATGTCTTCAGTAACTTAGTGAGACATTATTTGTGTTATTCCTGCTTTCCAGAAAATGTAACTACTGTACCCACATTCATGAAACTAAGAAGTAAAAGACTGGAGTTAATGTCCAGTCTGTAGTACGTGAAGTCCTGCACTTACACCCCCTCTCCCATGTGTGCACCTGTCTCAGGGCCTTGGCTTTGGGAATTAGAGAAAGAATAAGAACCCAGTAAGTATTTGAACTCCCAATTCAGAAGGTCTGGGTTGAAGCCCCAGATCACTGTGTGGCATGACGCAAGGGACAGAATTAATTTTAGGTCCTTGCCCCCCGCCCCCCACTGTGTAAAATGGGGATAAAATCCTCCACAGTGAATATTAAGAGAATCAAACAACATGGACACACAGTGCAATACAATGCAATACAATGCAATACAATACAATACAATACAATGCAATACAACGTATAAGACACTCTCAGTGTCAATTCATGTTATTAACCACCAACAAGAACAGACTTAAAAATATCCAGAAGCAACTTGATGTCATGTTTTCCTCAGTCAGTAGAAACAAAAGCCACAGAAGTGAACAGAGTCCATTGCAGAAAGAATTCAGAGTACATCACTGTACCCCTAATTTATAGTCCTCTCACACTAAAACCAGCATTTACTGTGTGAAAATGACTCCCAAGAAATGGATTGACTTAAAATATAACTCAGTGTATTTTGCAAGATCTGGCCATTCTGAGGTGTCTCCCTGAAGCCAGGGAATTTCAAAAGTTAAGTTGATCAGGAGGAAAAAATGCTATAGCATAACTAAGAGCAAACATAGGCAAAAACTTACCAGTTTCATCTTTCAGGGAAGCTTTTCTAGATGTAATAGCAGAGAGCTCTAAAAGAAATAAAGACGAGTATTATCAAATTGTTTATATTCATTATTTGATATGTTGTCTGTTTTGTGGATGGATAGATGGATAGTATATAAATAGATAGGTAGATGATAGAATATGTAAACAGAGAGGAGAGAGCCATTACTAATATGAGCCCCACAATTCCAGAACTGATTGTTCTGAGTCTGTGTAAGCTAGTAGATCAATTAATTTATTGTATTTCTGCACATGAAGATGTTGAAGTTCATGAATGATGCATTTTTCCTTCTTTTCTCACAACTTAATGCCTAGGACTATCTTGTTTTCCCTCTGTGCTCATAGCTCCCAGCACAGTGCTTGCTACACAGTAGGTGTTCTATAAATTCTTGTTAAATGGAAAAAAATAACTGAAACAGTGGCTGCTTTACATTCCTCAGCACCCACTGCTAACATGAAGGGTTGTTACCAAAATGAATTCATCCAACCCTAGAATGCACAGCAGAATATTACATTTTGGGAGGAATCTGGAATAGGTAAATTCCCCATCTCAGCAAAAGAAAAAGGTCCCACCTTTCCAAAGCACACATGTTCCCAATATCCCCAACTCATGCACATGATTTTTTGGAGTGGTGGTGTTTGTGGACATGACAATAATACTAATGAAAGCCAATACCTATTGAATGATTATTACTGTGCCAGGAAGTATGTGAAAGATTCACATGTATTAGGTCATGACACTGATGTGAGCTGTATTCATGTTAGACATGAAGAAATGAAGTTTAGAAAGTCTAAATAACTTGCTGGTAGTCATACCAGTTATTGGCAGAGCCAGCACTCAACGTTCCATTATGAGGGTTTAGATAAGCTAGAACATGTGGGAAGTACCTTGTAAAAACAATCCATAGAAATTCATATGACTCCACCATAGTGGAGGCTCAGGCATTATCTCTTCTCCTATCATAATTACTCATAGAAAATGACCTTTTTATTACAGAAGCTCAGCATTTCAGTGTGCTTCTTTCCAGGGACAGAAAGACTCGACAAGGAATAATCATAGGTTTTCTGAATATATAACTGAGGTGAGGGTTGTATTACTCTATAGTGTAAAAAAAACCCACAAAAACAAAAACAAAAACAAAAACCCGATATGCATACAAAACCAAAATTCCTTAAAAAGATCATTGACTGGATTATTTGCTTGTAGAGATAAGAGAGGGAGACAAACCATGAGAGACTCTGGACTCTGGGAAATAAGTTTAGGGTTTCAGAGGAGAAGGGTAGAAGGATGGGATAGCTGGATGATGGGTATCAAGGAGGGCACATGTTGAGGGCACATGTTGAGGATGAGCACTGGGTGTTATATGCAACTAATGAATCATTGAATACTACATCAAAATCTAATGATATACTATATGTTGGCCAACTGAACATTAAAAAAAAAAGGATCATTGACTGTTGGATGGAGGAAGAGAGTCTTAGCATGTTCATTATTTTTCTCCTTGATGTGTTCTCTCCAGATATTGTTCTGTTATGTAAATTATTCACTTCACATAATCTTATTTTGGTATGCTTTAAAAAAATGAATCTGAGCTATAGGCTTTTGTGTAAATCTCAAGAACAGAAATATTTACATAATCGTGTTTAGATGTTAAAATATCCTCAAGAACTGGTTTTTGAGTGTCTTGAAAGCATCTTTCTTTTCCATACAGTGACTTTGCTCATTAAAAAAATAAATATAAATCACTTACCACCATTTATTGAGGTTTAAACATTCAGGTAATAATTTTTCAAATTAAATCTATGTGTATTCTAGTTTCACATTCTTAATCAATGTTGGTTGAAAACTTGGACCAGATTAGTTTTATCTCTCTTCAAAATTCCTTCCCTGTTTTGTGCTTCCATGTTTTATATACTTCATCAAAAAAACCAAAAACAACAAAAAACTTATGAGCATTAGCGTTAGAAATATGCTGAGGAAGGGAGGGAGGAGCAAGAAGGCAGAGGAGTAGGAGATCTAAATTTCATCTGGTCCAAGGAATTCAGCTAAATAGTTATCAAATAGTACCATTCTGGACACCTACAAACTAAACAGGAGATCAAAGAGAATAGCAACAATTCTATGAACAGAAAAGTGACCATTTTATAGATGGTATCTTCTGATTTGGTTAGTGTATATTCTTCTGGGTTCATTGTTACCTTTTTGGCATTTTGTTCTCTCATTCATCTATTTTTCTCTGGACAAAATGACAAGACAGAAAAACTCACCTCAAAAAAAAAAAAAAAAGAATAAGAGGCAGAACTGACTGCTAGACCTAATCAATATGGACATTAGTAAGATGTCAGAACTAGAGTTCAGCATGATGATTCTAAAGATGCTAGCTGGGCTTGAAAAAAGCATAGAAGACATTAGAGAATTCCTTTATTAGAAAACAAAAGAACAAATACAACCAAGTTGACATTTTAAAAAGCTATTAATGAGGTGCAATAAAAAATGGAGGCTATTACTGCTGGGACAAATGAGGCAGAAGAGAGAATTAGTGAAATATAAGACCAAATGGTGGAGAATAAAGAAACTGAGGAAAAGAGAGTGAAACAATTATGGAATCACAAGGGGAGATCTCAAGGGATAAATGATACTATAAGACGAAACAATACTAGAATAATTAGGATCCCCAAAGAAGAAGAAAGAGAGATGGGGGGCAGAAGGTATATTGGAGCAAATTATAGCAGATAACCTCCCTCATTTGCAGAAGGAAACAGGCATCAAAACCCAGAAGGCACAGAGAACCCCTCTCAAAATCAATAAAAATAGGTCCATACCCTGTCATCTAATAGTAAAACTTAAAGTCTCAGAGACAAAGAGAAAATCTTGAAAGCAGCTCAGAACAAGAGGTCTATAGCCTACAGTGGTAGAAATATTAGATTAGCAGCAGACCTATCGACAGAGACCTGGCATACCAGAAAGGACTAGCATGATATATTCAGAGCACCAAATGAGAAAAATATGCAACCAAGAATACTATACCCAGCTAGGCTCTCATTGAAAATAGAAGGAGAAATAAAAAGCTTCCAGGGCAAACAAAAACTAAAATAATTTGCAAACACCAAACAAAGCCTACAGGAAATATTGAAAAGAGTCCTCTAAGCAAATAGAGAGCCTAAAAGTAACAGACCAGAAAAGAACAGAGACATTATACAGTAACAGTCACCCAACAGGCAATACAATGGCACTAAATTCTTATCTCTCAATAGTTACCCTGAATGTAAATGGGCTAAATGCCCCCATTAAAAGACACGGGGCATCAGAATAGATAATAAAACAAGAGCTATCAATATGCTGTCTGCAAGAAACTCATTTTAGACCCAAAGACACCTCCATATTTAAAGGGAGGAGGTGGAAAATAATTTACCATATTAATGGACATCAAAAGGAGCTGGGGTGGCAATTCTTGTATGAGATAAATTATATTTTAAGCCAAAGACTATTATAAGAGATGAGGAAGGACACTATATCATACTTAAAAGGTCTGTCCAATAAGATTTAAAAATTTAAAATATCTGTACCCCTAACATGGGAGCACCCAATTATATAAACCACTTAATAATGAAATCAAAGAAACACATTGACAACAATACAATAATAGTAAGGGATTATGACACCCCCTGACTGAAATGGACAGATCCTCTAAGCAAAGATCGACAAGGAAATAAAAGCTTTATTTTTTTTAAAGATTTTATTTATTTATTTGACATACAGAGATCTCAAGTAGGCAGAGAGGCAGGCAGAGAGAGAAGAGGAGGAAGCAGGCTCCCCACCGAGCAGAGAGCCTGATGCGGGGCTTGATCCCAGGACCCTGGAACCATGACCCGAGCCGAAGGCGGAGGCTTTAACCCACTGAGCCACCCAGGTATCCTGGAAATAAAGGCTTTAAATGACACATTGGACAAGATGGACATCACAGATATATTCAGAACATTCCATCCCAAAGCAACAGAATACACTTTTTTCTCTAGTGCACATGGAACATTCTCCAGAATAGATCACATCCTAGATCACAAATCTGGTCTCATCCAGTACCAAAAGATTGGGATTATTCCCTGCATATTTTCAGACCACAATGGTTTGAAACTAGAACTAAACTACAAGAGGAAAGCTGGAAAGAACTCAAATACATGAAAGCTAAAGAGCGTCCTGTTCAAAATCTTTGGGACATAGCAAAGGTGGTCCTGAGAGGAAAGTATATAGCAATGCAAGTCTTTCTCAAGAAACAAGAAAGTTCTCAAATACACAACCTAACCCTACACCTAAAGCAGCTGGAGAAAGAACAGCAAAAAAAGTCTAAGCCCAGCAAGAGAAGATAAATAAAGATCAGAGCAGAAAGCAATGAAATAGAAACCAAAAGAACAGTAGAAGAGATCAATGAAACTAGGAGCTGGTTCCTTGAAAGAATTATTAAGATAGATAAGCACCTGGCCAGACTTATCAAAAAGAAAAGAGAAAGGACCCAAATTAATAAAATCATGAATGAAAGAGGAGAGGTCACAATCAACACCAAAGAAATACAAATAATTATAAGAGCATATTACGAGCAATTATACACCAGCAAATTAGACAATCTAGAAGAAATGGATGCATTCCTAGAGATTTCTAAACTACCAAAACTGAACCAGGAAGAAAGAGAAATCCTGAACAGACCCATAACCAGTAAGGAGATTGAAGCAGTAATCAAAAATCTTCCAACCAAAAATCCCTGGGTCAGATGGCTTTCCAGGGGGAATTCTACCAAACATTTAAAGAAGAACTAATACCCATTCTTGTCCCAAAAAATAGAAATGGAAGGAAAACTTCCAAACTCATTTTAGGAGGCCAGCATTACCTTGGTCCCAAAATCAAAGACCCCATCAAAAAGGAGAATTACAGACCAATATTCATGATGAACATGGATGCAAAAATCCCCACCAAAATGCTAGCCAATAGGACCTAATGGTACATTAAAAGGATTATTCATCACAACCAAGTGAAATTTATTCTTGGGCTGCAAGTTTGGTTCAACATCCACAAATCAGTCAATGTGATACAATACATTAATAAAATAAAGAACAAGAACCATAGGATGCTCTCAATAGATGCTGAAAAAGCATTTGACAAAGTACAGCATCCTTTCTTGATCAATACCCTTTACAGTGTAGGGGTAGAGGGTATATACCTCAATATTGTAATAGCCATCTATGAGAACCCACAACGAATATCATTCTCAATGGAGAAAAACTGAGAGCCTAAGCCCAGGAACAGAGCAGGGCTGTCCACTATCACCACTGCTATTCAACATAGAACTAAAAGTCCTGGCCTCAGCAATCAGACATCAAAAAGAAGTAAAAGACATCGAATTGGCAAAGAAATTTCACTCTTTGCAGATGATATGATACTTTATGTGGAAAACCCAAAAGACTCCACCCCAAAACTGCTAGAACTCATACAGGAATTCAGTGAAGTGTCAGAATATAAAATCAATGCACAGAAATCAATTGCATTTCTATACATGAAAAACAAGACAGAAGAAAGAGAAATTGAGGAGTTGATCCCACTTACAATTGCACCCCAAACCATAAGATACCTAGGAATAAACCTAACCAAAGACACAAAGAATCTAAACTCAGAAAACTATAGAGTACTCATGAAAGAAATTGAGGAAGACATAAAGAAATGGAAAAACATTCCATGCTCATGGATTGGAAGAACAAATATTATGAAAATGTCTATGCTACCTAAAGCAATCTACACATTTAATGCAATCCCTATTAAAATACCATCAACTTTTTTCAAAGAAATGGGACAAATAATCCTAAAACTTATACGGAACCAGAAAAGACCTCAAATAGCCAAAGGAATGTTGAAAAATAAAGCCAAAGTTGGTGGCATCACAATTCCAGACTTCAAGCTCTATTACAAAGCTGTCATCATCAATACAATGTGGTACTGGCACAAAAACAGACACAGATCAGTGGAACAGAATAGAAAGACCAGAAATAGACCCTCAACTCTATGGTCAACTAATCTTCAACAAAGCAGGAAAGAATGTCCAATGGAAAAAAAGACAGTTTCTTCAACAAGTGGTGTTGGGAAAATTGGAGAGCCACATGCAGAAAAAGGAAACTGTACCATTTTCTTACACCACACCCCAAAATAGACTCCAAATTGATAAAAGACCTCAATGTGAGAAAGGAATCCATCAAAATCCTTGAGGAGAACACAGGCAGGAACCTCTTTGACCTCAGCCACAGCAACTTCTTCCTAGAAACATCGCCAAAGGCAAGGAAAGCAAGGGCAAAAATGAACTATTGGGACTTCATCAAGATCAAAATCTTTTGCACAGCAAAGGAAACAGTCAGCAAAACCAAAAGACAACTGACAGAATGGGAGAAGACATTTGCAAATGACATATCAGATAAAGGGCTAGTATCCAAAATCTATAAATAACTTATCAAACTCAACACCCAAAGAGCAAATAGTCCAATCAAGAAATGGGCAGAGGACATGAACAGACATTTCTGCAAAGAAGACATCCAGATGACCAACAGACACATGAAAAAGTACTCACCATCACTCGGCATCAGGGAAATACAAATGAAAACCACAATGAGATTCCACCTCACACCAGTCAGAATGGCTAAAATTAACAAGTCAGGAAATGACAGATGCTGGCAAGGATGCAGAGAAAGGGGAACCCTCCTACACTGTTGGTGGGAATGCAAGCTCGTGCAGCCGCTCTGGAAAACAGTATGGAAGTTCCTCAAAAAGTTGAAAATAGGGCCACCTTATGACCCTGTAATTCAACTACTGGGTAGTTACTCCAAAGATACAAATGTGATGATCCAAAGATGCTTATAGCAGCAATGTCCACAATAGCCAAACTATATAGAAAGAGCCTAGATGTCCAACAACAAATGAATAGATAAAGATGTGGTATATATGTACAATGGAATACTATCCAGCCATCAAAAACCCCTGAAATCTTGACATTTATGAGGACGTGGATGGAACTAGAGGCTATAATGCTAAGTGAACTAAATAATTCAGAGAAAGATAATTATTGTATGATCTCACTGATATGAGGAATCATAAGGGAAGGGAGGGAAAAATGAAACAAGATGAGACCAGAGAAGGTGACAGACCATAAGATGAGACTCTTAATCTCAGGAAACAGAGGGTTGCTGGAGGGAAGGGGGTAGGAGGGATGGAGTGGCTGGGTGGTGGACTTTGGGGAGGGTAAGTGCTACATTGAATGCTGTGAATTGTGTAAGACTGATGAATCATAGACCTGTACCCCTGAAGCATATAATATGTTGTATGTTAATAAAAAAAAATTTGTTGAGGAAAGGCATTAAAGGAAATGCCCTCACTAGCTTTGCTACTATGAGAAGACCTTGGTTGACATTCCTTTCAGAATTTAATTCCCAAGTAAAACACACCATAAAGAAGAACTTCTCCCTTTTCTATGATCATCACCATGGAATGTTACTATAGAATGTTTTTACATTGTTCAGTATAAAAATCGATACCTAAAGGACTTCAGCCAGTGGTTACATTAAAGTTATGCTTAGCTTATTTGCCTCCTTTCTTTATCTTAGCTGTAGAAACAAAAATAATTCAGACTGTTTGGTATCTTACTTTAGTTATTTTAGGGAAGAATATACATAAATACAATAAAAATATGAATAAATGTATCCATGTTATGTTTTCAAAAACAAGCATTTTCACTGACATTTATTGTGCTTCCTCTTCATCACATGCCAGGAAAAAGGAAAGGTATGTCAGTGTTTAATCTAAATTTGATCAATGGAATCACTGAAGATCCAAGAGGATAAAGATTTAATTCAACAATTCAGAGTTGCACACTGCAAAGGTCTTTGTATGTTTTGTGTAAATGTTTGTTTCCCACTGCTTCCCAAGGACTTGTGAACCACAGGGAAAAGTGCAAACTGGTTCTTTCTCATGGGCTCTCTGGGGCTTTGGTCTGTGATGTTAATGCCAGGACTTGACTTCTGAATCTAATGAGTTACTGATCACAGCCCAGTCAGGGTTATACTTTGAGTAGAGCAATACTGAAGGGAGAAGGACTCTGATTGCTGAGTAGAACATTCCCCGAGAGGTATATAATTGTTTTTATTTCCTGATCAAGTAAGATAATCAAAAGTGGACTCTCTTCAGAGCATTTCTTTTTGCGAGATTGGTAGGTGCTTTCATGTGTATTTTTTCATTTATTCTATACAATGGCCCTAAAAAACATTATTGTGACCTTTATATTGGATGATAAAACTGAGGCAAGAAAAGCTAAGCGAATTTGTCTTTTTCTTTGTATGTTCCAAAGCCCATTCTCTTTCAGTTCTATGGGGAAATAGCAAGACATTCATGCTACCATTTAAGATACGAACATTTAGAAAGACTTTTATTTCTTTCTTTTCATTAATACTTGACAGGGAAGTGGGGTATTTCCTTTGAAGAAAAGAGTACCAGGATATATATATATATGTACATACCTTTTATATGGGAAGAAAATAGAATCTCTTGAACAGCCTTTCCTTTATTCATCTCGTGTTTGACGATACATTTGTGTTCTTTATCCACTGACGCTTCAGTCACGGTCAGCCAGCTGAATTTCATGTATGTGTCATTAGTCTTCATGGTGTCTCCCTGCTGGGATGTCAGAATTGTTTCATCATCCTTTTCTTTCCAATCTATCTTGATAACATCAGGGAAAAAATCCTCAAGGAGACAAAGATATGTTCCAGACTTATGGAGTCTTCTTTCATCAATTGAAGGAAAAAATATTGTAGGCTTGGGGAAAATGGCTGCATCAAGGTTTCTATCTGTGGGGAAGTGGAATAGCAATTAAAACTTTATTAAAGTAACACAAACATCATGTGGTTTGGAACCACCTCACAGTGAAATGAAAGAAATTTGCCATAGAATTAGTGCTTATCTCAGGCCTTTCATCCACAGTGGGTTATGAGATACTGACTGTTCTTATTTTCAATGAGAAATAGTTACAAGAAGTCATGTAGCTTGCTCAAATAACAACTATTAAATGGCAGAATCTGGATTAAAATATGAGATTTTTTGAAACAATACACACTCACATTTTGAATGGAACTACTATAATGCATACTTGACAATCTATCAAGTTGACCTTCAAATCTTCAAATATGGATTCCAAACCCACTTCCCTTTTTTTTTTTTTAAAGATTCCATTTATTTATGACAGAGAGAGTTGACAAGAGAGGGAAAACAAGCATGAGGGAGCTGGAGAGGGATAAGCAGGCTCCCCGCTGATCAAAGAACCTGACATGGGGCTTGATTCCAGGACACTGGGATCATGACCTGAGCCAAACCCACTTCTAAAGTAATGGAGGTCTTCTACTTAATTCCTGATTTTATAAAACATCTCAATCTCACATCTGAACCATTCCAGGATTTTGAGTAGGACAATGTTCAAAATTGTTCCTCCCAAATATTTACAATACCTTGAATTTAGTAGCAAAGTGACAGTATTTCCAAAACTGTTTTTAGGAAACTTCCCGCCCCCCAGAAATGCTTTTGTATTAACTTTATCAAGTAACACACTTATCTGAATTTTGTTTTGATTTGGAAAATGTTCACTGAAAGCACATTTTGTATTGGAATTTCATTTGACATTTATATATGACTAAAAAGACACCATATTTTGACTTTCAGAGTCTCCCTTTAAAGTTGAATCTGCTCTAGAAAGCTGCTAATTGTTTTTTAAAACCCCACAGTATCTGTGATTTTACCTGCTGAACAAAATATATATGTAACTGTTGTAGTGTTAAAAGTTATTGCTTTATTAATAATACACTTTATAATGGCTAATTGAATTTAAATTAAAGAAAAAGAAGTTATGGTTCCAGAGTTTCTTGCAGTCCTAATGTCAAGACATGTAACAAAACATAGTTTTAAAGGGCATGTCACTTGACATGGGTATGTTACTTGATTATACATTTATTGTTAATGACTGAAATTATAAATGTTAGCATCCTTTAGATAAACTCAAAATGGATAAAAGACCTCAATGTGAGACAGGAATCCATCAGAATCCTAGAGGAGAACATAGGCAGTAACCTCTTCGATATCAGCCATAGCAACTTCTTTCAAGATAAGTCTCCAAAGGCAAAGGAAACAAAAGTGAAAATGAACTTTTGGGACTTCATCAAGATCAAAAGCTTCTGCACAGCAAAGGAAACAATCAACAAAACAAAGAGGCAACCCACAGGATGGGAGAAGATATTCGCAAATGACAGTACAGACAAAAGGCTGATATCCAGGATCTAAAAAGAACTTCTCAAACTCAACACACATGAAACAGATTATCATGTGAAAAAATGGGCAGAAGACATGAACAGACACTTCTCCAATGAAGACATACAAATGACTATCAGACACATGAAAAAATGTTCATCACTAGCCATCAAGGAGATTCAAATTAAAATCACATTGAGATTCCACCTTACACCAGTTAGAATGGCTAAAATTAGCAAGATAGGAAACAATATGTGTTGGAGAGGATGTGGAGAAAGGGGAACCGTCTTACACTGTCGGTAGGAATGCAAGTTGGTGCAGCCAATTTGGAGAACAGTGTGGAGATTCCTTAAGAAATTAAAAATGGAACTTCCCTATAACCCTGCAATTGCACTCCTGGGTATTTACCCCAAAGATACAGATGTAGTGAAAAGAAGGGCCATCTGTACCCCAATGTTTAGAGCAGCAATGGCCACAGTCACCAAACTGTGGAAAGAACCAAGATGCCCTTCAACGGACGAATGGATAAGGAAGATGTGGTCCATATACACTATGGAGTATTATGCCTCCCTCAGAAAGGATGAATACCCAACTTTTGTAGCAACATGGATGGGACTGGAAGAGATTATGCTGAGTGAAATAAGTCAAGCAGAGAGAGTCAATTATCATATAGTTTCACTTATTTGTGGAGCATAACAAATAACATGGAGGACATGGGGAGATGGAGAGGAGAACGTTGTTGAGGGAAATTGGAAGGGGAGATGAACCATGAGAGACTGTGGACTCTGAAAAACAATCTGAGGATTTTGAAGGGGCGGGGGTGGGAGGTTGGGGGAGCCAGGTAGTGGGTATTATGGAGGGCACATACTGCATGGTGCATAAACCATGAATTCTGTTACACTGAAAATAAATTAAATTAAAAAATTAAAAAAATTGATTTCTAAAGGAAATCCAAGTGCTTTTCTGATATTCTCTTTGAGATAATTTGGAGTTAGTTTACTAATTCAATGGGCAATCTCTTAAGAAAAGAGGAACTGGATTTCTCATTTGAGAAGAAAGGGGACAATTCTTTTTGGGGGTGGTTCATAATACTCTCTCTCTTTTTTTATTTTTTTTAGGAAAAAAAATATTGAGAATTTCTAAGCTCCTGCTTTTTATACTAAATCAGTAAGCAAGTGATGAGATCTTATTTATGATATACATAGAATTAGGTCATGATATGCTTACTTTAAATATACACCTTGGGGGTGCCTGGGTGGCTCATTGGTTAAGCATCTGCCTTCAGCTCAGGTCATGATCCTGCAGTCCCTGAATTGAATACCAGGTCAGGCTCCCTGGCTCAGCAGGGTGTCTGCTTCTCTCTCTCTCTCTTTCTGCCCACCCCTATCCCTGTGCTCTGTCTCTTTCTCTCTCTCTCTCTCTCTCCCAAATAAATAAATAAAATCTAAAAAAAAATCTTGCTTGTAGTAAAAAATATATATATGTATAATAAATATATAATACATATTATGAATTTATATAAATTTATATCTAAATTTATATATTTAAATATAAATACATTTATAAATAATTATTTTATATATTTTATATATTTATTTTTATAGTAATATATGTATATAATGTTTATGTACAATATATGTACAATATATGTATAAAATACAGATGTATTAATTAATTGATAATAATAAATAATAAATAAGTAATAAGTAATAAGTACTAAATAAGAAATAAATGATAATAATCAAAATTAATTAATCAATAAAATATATATCGCTATACAAATATATAGCAGTATATGTATAAAAATACATTCATTATATAATATATTAATTATTAAACATACATTAAATAATAAATTTTTATTAATTAAATATATATCAATAATATATTTATATATTATTATATATTATAATATTTATTATTAAATATATATTAAATTAATTATTAAATATATATTAAATATATGTTAGTAAATATAATATATTAAGTATATATTAAATAATTAAATAATTAAATATATATTTATATATTTTTATACATATACTGCTATATACTTTTATATATTTATATATAAATTATATTATATTATATATTATATATTGTATATATGTATACACATATATACATGATATTTACACACTATATAATTATATTATAATGTATATAAGTATATATAATATATAATATATAATGTATATATTACATAATATACATAATATAATTACATATATAATTACATA